CCACGTATGTTTACATATAATCAAGAAGCTAAACTCGACGAAATTGAAACAAGAGGATGCTATTAGGACCAAAAGATAAACACGTACTCTTGTATTAATTGAGAGTCATTTAAAAACATAGTCTTCCTCCCCCCTTTGGATTTAATTTTAGATGTATATGTTTTATAAATAGTCTCTATATACGAGGGGCGATCAAAAAGTTCGAGAACGATCTCTATATTTACAAAACCACAATTCAGATCAGAATGAAATTTGACCCACCTACAGTCATGCAAATGTACTATGAATAGCATATAAAAAGTAATTTCTCCATAATTGTGACGTCACAATGTGAAAATGACGTCAATATGTAGGTGACTCGTGACGAAAAATAGCAGTCGGCACACCTCGGCCGAGTTCACGGAATCAGCCGAGGTTTGCCGAATGGAAAAATAGCTGTTACAGTCTTACTCGAGAAACTTTAACGTATAACTTGGAAATTCCTTTGAAGTATCTTATGATAATTTGTACAAGGTTTATGGAAACAATAGACTTTTCAGACGTTCAATCATAAACTGGATTGATTGTTTTAGTGAAGGGAGGGAGATGGTTAAAAATATAGCGTTTGTTTTGTAGCCCAACGAAAGCAATCTTGAGAAAAGATGTGTCCTTTGTTCGGCAATTTGTTATGAAAGATTGCGAAGTTACAGCTAGAAAAAAGGTGGAATATCTTAACAATAATAGGATGATTCAATCTCTAAAATATCGTTTAATTTAGACTTTTAACAAATAAGATATGATAAAAAGAAGGCCCCCTACAACTATATCCAAATTGGATAAACGTCTTTCTAAGACAGAGGAGTCGGGTTGTGATGGTCACCATCATCGTCTCAACCACGGTCCGGAGTCCGCATATAAGCTCTCTCCTACATGGGAGAGGATCGTACATTTTGGCCTGGTTTGCGACGATGGGTCACCATGTACTTTCTGGGAAAGGATATTCTTATCCAATCATCCTATTTCCGAGATTTGGTCATTTCTGACAAATGAATTGTTTTTGTTATAAAAATATTGTTTTTGTTATAAAAATCAACTTACATGGTAAGAAATATATGACTCGGTAAAAATGTTTTAAATAGCGAATATGAACAGAATGCTTCAGATCACGTGATTCGCGCATGGACAGAACGGTGGCAGATGTACATTAAAATTGGAGACGGCACTTTAAAAAATAATGAACACTGAAACCTAATTTTTTTGTTTTATGGAAGTTATTCAATTTGTTCGCGAACTTTCTGATCACCCCTCGTAGTTTATTAATTAAAACGCAACAGTTTATAACATACCTTCATAACACTACTATATTCGCTGGATTTGAAGTCGTATTCATCAGACGGTCGAGCGGTATTGTGACGTCATAATCACTTGATTTGAAGCCGAAAATTATCGAACGGTCAGTGCGCGTCAAAGAGTATTGTGACGTCATAATCATCACTTGAATTGAAGCCAATTCATCGCATTGTCAGTGCGCGTCAAGTGGTATTGTGACGTCACAATCAATTTACATTTATACCTCAAACAACGTTGAAAGCACAGTTGGCGTACCTATCAATTTTACCGAATTTTTCAAGAAAAAAAAAATACGTATAATAATTTATTATAGGTATAACGTATTTTTTTAATTTACTGAAAAATTTGATAAAATTGATGGGTACGCGAACTCCTGTGGTTGAAAGCAATGGCTGCGCGACAGAAACCAGCTGAATATCAAATCAGGTAAATTGTTAGCTGCCTTTTGGTGTCCCCCAAGGATCTGTTGCTGATTATTTTTGATATACATGCTATGCAGATGATACACAAATCTACATGATCACAGACCACTGGAAAAGTTGAACAATTACTTCTCTGACTTGAACGTGTTTTTTTGGATGACATCAAACCTACTCAAACTAAACAGAAAAGAAGTAATAATCTTTCCACAAAGCAACACCAGAAGTTGCCAACATTACAACTAAAAGTTGGTGATAATATCATTGAAAGCGTGCCATGTGTAAAAAAAATTTTTCAATCAACACCTTACCTATGGAAAAAAACTCGGTCGTCAACATGCTATTTTCAAATAAGCAATATTGGGGCGCTTTCTTACAAAAGAAGCCTGCAAGACCATGGTGAATGCCGTTATCACTGCCAGGCTGGACTATGGGAACTGCCTTCTATATGGAGTGTCAAAGGGGGGATTCAAAAAGTCCAGAACACGGCAGCTCGTTTAGTTACAAGATCATCATATTAAAACTCTTCATTTCCCTTCCACAATATAAAATTTGACAATGTCTACCAATCCTTACACGGGTTGGCTCCATCGTATATCAAAGATCTTATAAGGAATACAAGCCTTGATCACTGCGATCTGAGTCAACATCACGGTTAGTTGTTCCTAAGATCAGGACGAAACATATGGTGAACGTCGACTTGGTTGGACAGCAGCATTTTTGTGGAACGACCTTCCTAATGATATAAAGCAGGCCCAGTCCCTGGATATTTTCAAAAGACAATTAAAGACGCATTTTTATAGGATAGCTTTTTAAGTTTTAGGTGCTCAATTTTTAGCAGCAAATCATAAATTCTTTTATTGAGTTTTATTGATGGTGTAATTGTATTTTGTATGTAAAAAGTATTTTACATGTTATAATTTCGAACACATGTGTGTCTATGGGCTAATATTTTATATAAGTTTTCATAGCTTTTAAATTATGTTTACTTGCGTTTTATTGTACAGCGCTTTAGAGTTATATTATTAATATTTAGCGCTTTATAAATTCATATATTATTATTATTATAATATCAAATCAGGTAAATTGTTAGGCAAGTCTGTTGCTGATTATTTTTCAAACATTTCGGTGTCTTTTATACAACAAAAGTTGTAAGTTCTAATCTGCATGAACTTTTTTTTTTTACAACAGAAGTTCGTTAATGACAGTAGCGTTGTTTTTGAAAGTTGGGGCCATCCTGGGCCGAGGAAAAAAATTCAACTTACCTGGGAAAAAAACTTGACAAGCTAAAAAAGGGGGGGGGTTTTTACCAAACTCATCCGAAAATTCTATATACATCCCGGGGTGGGATTCGAACCCGTGATGTAAGGATCAATTCCTTCTACTTTTAAAACTCTGCATTTCCCTTATAATATCCTAATTTGACAATGCTGTAACGTATTGACACAGCTAGGCCCTCTGGCTTGCGAGGATGATAGTGAATAGGGCTAAACTTTGTTATTCACCAGCAAACCCTAATTACCACCGAAAGAGTGACAGTCCATAATTGTATGATCATAATACTACGTGTATGGTGTCCAATATGTCACTTTTTAACAGTTGCAATCTAAACTGCATCTCGAGCTACAAAATCTATTGGTCATTGTAGGATTTATGTTATGCTACATGTAGTAATGCTAGTAAAACTTTAAATCGATCTATAAAATGAAGGTCAATTGCGGATACGAAACATATTGTCAATAATATTTGCTTTGATGTACAGATGTGACATCCATGCAAGATTTGTTGTCATAGAAGCTGGAATGGCTCTGCATGCATACTTAAAAACATTTTCATCTAATTTAATTCTTGAATATAGTGCATACAGTTATGATTCATGTCATTTATACTGAAAATATAGGTTATCGTCAGGATGGCGAAGGATGAACGATATTTTACATGCAATAGGAATACAAGTGTTGAACAAGGTTGCAGGCGCGGATCCAGAATTTATTCCAGCAACTCCTTTCCGAAACATGAAAACTCTGTTTCATGGGGGTTGAATACTAAAGCTTCATAATTAAGAATTTTCATACGAACCTTACATACATATGTAGATCCCCGTTTTCAAGGGGGGGGGGGGTACAAAGTCAATTTAGTTGGTTTAGTATATACATTTAACAACTCAACAAATTTCAGAATGGGAGTCCAGACACACACACCCCATTTCCCTGTAGATCTGCACGTGAGGTTGAGCTGACAGTTTATTTAAAATCCGTCCTAATCATAAAATATTTCCCTCATCTTTTAACACACGTAATATAGCTCGTATGCAGAATGATTGACAGTTATAGTGAGCATCGATCTGTATAGTAGGTTCATCTATACAAGGCGGGTTAATGTAGGAATTATTGCTACTTACATGTAATTATAGCTTCTTTGGAATAAACTTTAATGTGCTTATAATTAACGAGATAGTAAATGGGTCAGTCTGACAGCGTCCAACCTTAACATTATATATGTATCCTTCAAGTTATCGCAAATAATTTTCTAACCTTACCTATCACATTGTACAGGTAGCTGGTGATGGAATAGCACTATTTGATGCCCCAATGAATCGAAATAAAAAAATATATTGATTTTTTTCTTTTAAAAATATTGCATATATGTATTAAAATTAGAATTAATAATTAATATAAATTACTGATCAACTTTCATTTAAAAAAAAACAAAAAACATGTTATTTACCAATTGATTCCTATTTCAGAGCACCCAAGTGGATTTTTTTTTCACGCATCATTCAATATTTTTATTAAGGAAAGTGGTATAAAAAAATATTTACCAATCAAGTTTACGTAAACGTTGAAGGACTTTGAAAATGTTAAATGATTAGACTGACATAGCGATGTTTAATAGAACTTATATACTTCAAAGTATATTTTGAAATAAATAAACTATTAATTAAATAAATTAATTAATTCATTATGCTGAACACGTACCATTAATTGCCAGAAAACGCGTTTATTTTTAAGCGTTTAATCGTAGTTTTTTTTTTCTCTCTCTCTCTCTTCAAGTTGTACTTTTTTTATTTAGGAAATACAAAAATTGTATTTTTTATTTGATATATTTTACCTCCAACCCCCTTTCCTAAAGAGAAAACATAATTAAATGTCAATAAATATTAATTTGTCTATGCTGGGAATTCCCTTTACACGACAACGGCTATATTTAAAGTTCTCTGACGTAAATTAAAAGATCGATCTCGAGGGATTCCCTTACGTTCAACAAACAGAACAGAATGTGTATGAAGACGAAGCGCTGAATTTATATTATCTTCGTGAACTACGGATATGATTCTATAGCAGAATATGGGAGTGAAGTTCAATTCCAAGGCATATCGTTTTACAAGAAGTCGGCTCTGATTGGCTCCCTATGGCTGATATCACATTGAAGCTGATCTGGTATCGGCTTGGGGAGAGTTTCGACAAAATGGCGAATGCGGGCCAGGGAATTACGGCTTGGTTGTTTTCTGACTGGGACGATAATTTATTGGATGTTTTGCTTTTCGGGTGGATCGGCTGGGCAGTATTAGTCGTTATCATTGTCAATGCAGTGCTGACATTTTTCGGGCCTTTGAAACCCCGCGATAGTTGGGACCACAGTACTGTCGGGGTTTCAGGGCCGATTGTAACAGACAAAACCGGAGCGGAATCCTGTCAATGGTTAAACTCGGCTTTAAATTGGTTCTACTTGCATTATGACAAGTTTCCAGAGTTTGTGGACGCTTGGGTATTGGGTTTAAATGAACAGACAATCAAACTTGGGGTAAGTGTGTCGAAATTGATAAAGAAATGAAGAAAAAATGTAATTACTCTTTTGGGGGACTGTCTCAAAGGTTGATATTGGGAAGTTATTGCATGTATTGTGAGGAAAAAATATAATATAATGTCATTTCATTTTGTGTTTCTCAATCTGTGCACATTTTATATAATTTTCTTTAACAGTATTAAGATAACTGATGAAATGCTTTTAAGTGTTTTTATTGTTTACCCTGTACAGTAATAATATCCATCTTCATATGGAGTGCTAATTAAATTAATGAAACTGCTTTATGAGTAGGTATAGTCAGATACTGAGATAGTAACTGTGAATGTAAAAATCAATACCATATACAATGAAAACAAACACAGTAATTTAGTGGTCTGGAATAGCCTAAAATATTGTTGATGTATGAAAGATCATGCTGTGAGCCTAGGATATAAAGAATAGCGTAGCAGGCTCCTGTGTGTTTTAGTGACTGTTTTACATGTATGACAGCATTATTGCATTCACTTTCAGAATTTCTTTTTGCTTTATTTGATTGGGTTGTCACAGTTCCTCAGATATCGATCTCATCTTTTTTTTTTTTTTTTTTTACATGTCATATGTTCAGTGTACCACCCTACCAATTCATATTTCAATGATGTACTGCAAATTTGGTAGTAGTGTCATACATGCAGATAAAGAAGTATATTAAAGCATTGAAAAAATTATAAAATAGAGTCAAAGGAACCCCTTAATTACAAGCACATCAAAATACTATTTTAGAAATTATTTTGATAAGAGGAAAATTGATAACGTAATTTAATATTAAAAGTGCCCCCCCCCCCCCCAGAGAGAGAAAAAAAAGGTAACACATTTTGAATGTCAAACATTTTATAAGAGAGAGAAGAAATTAAAGAGTATGTTGACATTTAAAATGGTGTAACACATTCACTAATTTGAGAGAAAGGAAAACTTAAATCAATCATAAAAAATGATATAAACTATAAAAGGACTAGTGATAAAAATCAGATAGTTACAGGATACTTCATGTGTATCAGAATTTCGTAAACCAAGTATTGAAACTTGCATGTGCAAAATTCTAGGATATAGTTTGGCTTTCTAGAAGTCAAAAAAAAAGAAGCAAATTTATGCAAATTTTTGCAATTTTTCCACATTAGCTACAGGCACATATTCCAGATCAGCTGTTGAAAATTAAATCACATTTCATCCTCTCTCACTGAATAATTATGATGAGTTGCCATGGAAACAGTGATGTCTGGTGCTGTTGTTTGTAATTGTTATTTTCTTTAGCTAATCCCTCTTATCTATTTCATGCCTGATAATGACAGAAGGCAAGAAAGGATTCATTATTATGTTGGATTTTTTTATGTAATTGAAGAGGAATTTATATGTAATTAACTAACTTATAGGGAGCATTCTTCAGCTTTTTTGCATTGCTACTTCAGAGATGCATGTTTTCTGAATAATGAAACATCCTATGAATTTGATTCTGTGTTGATCTGTGTACATGTATTCTGCAATAACATCAACAAATCTTGATAAAACTTATTACATTGTCATGGTTAAATTTTTAAAGACAAGTCAACTCTATGAAGATGTTGATGACAAATTGACCAAACTATCAAAACAAAAAAAAGAGTTCAAATAAATCTATTTAGGGGTCCTTGGCTTCTGATGGAACTGTATCATGTGTATAAACCAAAATCCCTTGTTGATGTAGATGTTACCACAAACTTCATCTTTAACTGCTCAGTGACCAACATTGCTGAATACATGCAGATGTCCCATTCTTGAAGGGATGGATATAAAGCAAACAAATTACCAACCATTAGAATAGAGCTACAAAAGACTTTGGTTGTTCAGTGGAAATCTGCAACTAGTGGTCAGTTACAGTAGTCAAATTTAACATGTTTCAAGTAATGCACTACACATGTATTCTGACCAACAGTCCATTTGTTATATATTAACTGTGACCTGAGGTGACCTCTGATCTCCCTCAGTTCAGAATCACCCTGTGATGATGTCTGGACATTGTTTACAGTTAATTACATAATTTGATCATCATTTCCCCATCAGAATGCTCCCTATAACTGTGTTGGACTATCTGGTGATGATAAAGCCATCTAGATGGTCGGCTGCATATTGCTCCTAAGACACTGGGAGGTCATTATGTCTGCAGTGTGTCTTTTAGTTAGGCCTTAATGCTGTCTTATTTGTTATGTCTGCACATTATTAAGTGATGGAGTATGGCCAGGTGAACTTTTGATTCATAAGTAAGCTTCCAAAATTTAGGGGAAGCAGCAATTGTAAAAAAAAATCCCTCTTTGTCAAATACATGAAGTAACCATGTAGAGGTTCAGATGTTCAGCTATAGAAGTTTCTGTGACCCACCCTAAGCAAAAAGTTAAATTAAACAAAATCGTGTAACTCAGGTCAATTCAAAGTTTACTCCACTGGGTCAGATCATGAGGACAATAGTAATATACTGTATAACACAAACCACATTTTTGGATTTTTACTCCAACATTATATACTGTGCAAGACATGATTTTTTTTTAAAAGACAGACACAAGGTTCCTTTATATCCTGTTGTCTTCAATGAATGATTGTCATTTAGACTTTGATTCTAATTTAAAACTGTTGCAGTACGAGGGCTTAAAGACTTATTGCTCTATATATGTACTTAAAAACTTCATCTTTTAGAACCTTTTAGTCATATTTTATCTATAATCAATACACCACATAGCTTTTATTAATGAATTTTACTAATGGTTAATGCATTTTTAGCTATAAATGAACCAGTGAATCTACGTTTGATGGATCCATTCAAATATAAATTAGATACCGTTTTAACTGAATTACCCTAATATTCATTAAGATTCTTTGAAGTAGACTTAATGCATATGTACAGCATCTTTACTTTATATTTACAAAGCTAAAAACATTAAATCAAATGACAAACACAGTCAACCTCATTAATGATTATCTAGAACAACATGTATATGAAACCAAGAAAAATTTAAGATAACCAAAGTCTCAAAATTTAAGGTATTGAGGATAAAATACTTAAAGAATATGTGATGAGCACTTCCAAATAACTTTGACATATCCATGGTATTGGTGTTTTTTGAAATATTCTGAAGTTCAGCCTTATATATAAGCTTATTTAGTATTGTTTATTTCTTGTAACAGGGACCAGTACAGCTAAAGTTTGAACGCGTCAAGTCAGGAAGTCTGCCCCCGAAATTCAGTGAGGTGACCTTCCAGGCGGGTCCAGAGGATAAATATGTAAGCTTTTCATTTATTTGCCATACAATGTGTTCTTAGTTATTTCAGTTCTTTTTGAATGGACTTCATCATTTTCATCAGAAAAATGGATATAAGGAAAAATAGAGATAATGAACAGTTTTAATAAAGCTCAGGAGTATATAGAAATGATAGAAATTGAAAGCAGAACAAATATGGAATCAAAAAACAATTTAGAGGTTGGATCAGGTGCCATGGAGGAGTAAGCATCCCCAATGACCGTTCACACCTGTGTTTGTGGTCATGTGACTGCTCACACCTTTGGTGTGCTCCTAAATTGTCATAATCAGGCAAGCAGAAAAATCTGTATACAATTCAGCTGTGGGACTAAACACTGTATGAACTAATTAAATATAGCCAAAACAATTTCATTCTTAATCTTACAATTAAAGTATACTTAAATAATTTTAATATACGCTCACAAATAGGTGGAAAATTGCATGCAAGCTATATAAATCCCTAAAAATATTGCTTCGATAGCTAGAAGTGTAAATTTGTCACACAAACCGGTGAATGACATTGGACAGCCGTTACATATCACAGCCTTGTTTGTGTATCCCTGAATCAGTCATTAAGGGGAGAGCTGTTGTAATCCCCCAGGAATCCCAGATCTGTCAACTGTGTGACATGTTTTGTAACTGGGGAGATTGTATAAGCTCCAGACTGCCATTTTTGTATCATTAACAATTGCACAGTAACTGTAAACCTCATCAAAAACAACAATGCCTTAATTCAATATAAACAGTACTGCTTCATGTGTTTTTTTTCCTTTTGCTCTTTGCTCTATTATATTAGGATATCTGGAAAATTTCTATATTTGTATGCATGGGCAAATATTAGGCAACATATTTTGGAAACCTGGAAAATATCTATATTTGTATTGGCATATATTTCTTAATATAATATTGGTCAACATATTTTAGACATTTGGTTTTCTATAGTTCAAAATACCGGTATGTTCTTATATAGTTAAGTTTGTCTTAACTGGTTAAATTTACAGAACCATGATAAAGAATTTGCACTAAATGCATACTTTGGTGCTAGCTGATGAACATGCTCCAGAAGGAGTATAGCACAGTACTTGTTCATCTCTAGAAGAATAATTCTGTGTTATCTATAGGTTCTCTTTTATCCCTGATTAATATGGATTAGGTTGTTTTGATGTCTTACACTGTCATAGAATGGGCAGAAAGGTCTTGCTGAGAAATTGCTGTTTACAAATATGCATATGCCTTTGCAGAGGATTAATACATGTACTTTCTATCAGTTCAACAATTTTTGCATGCATGCAGGCAAAAAACATCATGCCATTAAAGTGCAAAGTATTAACCCACTTTGCATATGGGCAGAATCATGTTTTGAAACTGATATTTTAAATATAGATTGAAAACTGCATTTTTATGCATTAATTGACACTAAAATTAGACAATGATAAATTTTAAGCATTTTAAAGATGCATTAACATTCTTTGAATAGAAATGTATGTAAAAACTAATGGGCTTTGACAAATAAGAATGTATTGTTTTGTTTGTAGGTTGTCAAATGTAAGGTGGATTCCAAAGACTTGTCGTTTGCCATCTTTGCCTCCCAACAGACGACGGAGGGCGTTAAACTTACCAACCTGAACACCAGCATTCTCAAGCTGAAAGGCTCGGTGAGGGGCAATTCTGACTTTATCTTATATATCAGGAAATCGCATCCATAAAATATCTTAAAATATGATATATCTTTAAAAGAATAAGTACCACCTATATTTACAAGGTTGTCCCTATAAGACCAGGGGGTTGTGGAATTTCTCTGCCTTTAATGACTTTGGTATTCCTCCTCACTCCCCTCAGGCCTACTAAGAAGAAGAACCCAAGATCCCCTTAATCCTGTATTTAGTTGGGTTTCTTGTGGCATCTAGGAGCTGATTTACCTTTTAAATACTTCCCAGCCCCCCTCCCCACAAAAAAAAATCAGTTTTGATATTAGGATGCATATTGAGTCAGTATCTCCTGCTCTTTCTCATTGTAAAAGAACATTCCACACTAAACTACCATTAATTATAAAGATAAATGCCTATAAATAATTCTTTGGCATTCTTAACCAATAGAAGTTCATCATCCTCCAAGATGTGAAAACGCATGCACGTAAATAATTATATAGCTTTTTGCCAAGGCATGCAATAAAATACAGATGATCATGTCTTATTTAAGAGAACTGTTTATCTTTGAAAGCCAAACAAAAGGCTCAAAGCAACTTCAAGTGTAGTTTTATCAATAACATAGAGTTTGTATGTTACATCATTTGTGCAGCTAAGGCTATTGAAAAGGAAATTTAGATAAGAAATGTGATGAGATATGTTCCTCTTCATAATTACATGTAGTAGAAAATTGCATGTTGATGATTAAGAAGAAATCATTTCTATACATCATGGGAATTGTTGGAGAAGATATTAGATAGTGGAGAATTTTTTGTTGGGAAATTAAAAGTGTTCCCAGGTGCAAAGTTTTCATTTTCCAACAAAACATTGATACAGGGGTATATTCTCCAACAATTCCAAAGACAAGAGAATTATTTCTATTCTACTGTGGTCAAGTTTTAAACTTCAGTATAGATTTCAGCTTTGGCAGAAGTGTCTTATGATTTCACAATTAAATGCTACTTCTTGTTCCTTTGTACTTTGCACATTAGAAAAAGTGTTATGCAGTTTGAATCCCAATGAAACTTTTTGTCGCAAAAAAATTGCATCAAAATCAAAAAATGCCTCAATCCTTTACTTAATGAAAATTAACATTCAAAATTGATGATTTTTGTAGTTTATTCGAGAATAATAATGGTGCCATTTCTTTGATTTTCACAATAACCCTAGTAGAATATGTTTTGAATGTATTAAAAGGAATAAAATACACAGCTACAGCTTTTGTGTAATATATTCCAAATAAAATGTAGATCATATATATTATCAAAATAGCTAAAATTACGAGTATAATAAATTAAAAACAGACTTAATCTCTACTATACAAGATGTAATTTTAAAATAAAATGATTTTGCCTTGCAATTTCAACAATTTTTGATTCTTTTTATTTAAAGCATTTTGATCTAATATATGTCTTGATTAACATTCACATAACATCACTTAAATCATAATAAAATGAGGTATTTCTTCCAGCTTCGGTTGGAATGTTTTACGCACGGCAGTGATATGATGGCTAAGGTCGCCTTTGAAGGTCGTCCTGATGTTCGCATTGTTGGAAAACCTGTGAATCCATACCAGGTAGGCATATATATAAAGTGTACAGGCATTCTCAGGCCAGTGATCTCTCCTCCATTTTCCAGCTGATGTAGACATTTTTGTGTCTAATTATAGAAAAGCTTATCTTTAGCTGGGCTGTAGGGAGGAAAATTTTGAGTATTTATTTTGTGTGATAGTAGATTGGTTCCCCACCGCTATATTACAGAAAAATATAGAGATCTTAGAAACTCCCAGACCAAGAAACCATGTTCTACTATCATAGGAAAATCAAGTCTTGAGTAATAGCTCTTCATCTAATTTTGAAATGAAAGATTATATTTCTGCCCCACCATGAAGTTAACTTTATACAGACTCTTAGGGTATCTGCATTCAATTTCACCTGCTCATAAGATTTCTATCCTAGGATGACTAAGTGTCAAATTAATGAATCCCTAGTATCATATTTGCTCTATTACCATATATATTATAAGTACTAAGAGCATGGTATTTTCCATTCAATTATGAAATCTGCTTTAACTCAGATGCTCAGCTAGTAGGATAAGTTTCTGATGAGGCCAGAATTATTGACAAGTTGCTGGGTTGTTCACACCTTTTTGTTATAGACTTGGTCGTCTGTCGTCTGTCATATTTCTGTCTTCACTAAAGCTAACAAGTTGACTTATGAAATGTACAGAAGGATAGCAATATTTCAAAACTAATGAAATTGATCTTCCTTTTGTCTGCCTGCTGAAACAAACAGCAATATCAATTTCACTCTTGTAACCCTTCCAAACAATTTTAAAAGTACGAGTTTTCTGCATCTTGTATGATGACTGTTTCCTGGAAATGAAGATGTTTCCTCTTTTTTGAAATGATTAAAAATATGAAATATTGATGGATAAATGTTATGGGTTTTCATATGTAGGTGTGATATTTCAACATTTATACCTGCATGTTGTCTGTAAGCTATTCTTGGTTCAGTGAATGTTATGTCAGATGGTAGAATTCAAATCATTGCCAGGCAGGTAGTGGGTTTTCTGTTGCCATAGTTATCTGTAAAGCAGATAGCAGACGTTCATGTGATGGAAATGTCAGATATATATCATTTGAATGGATGAGAGATTTTTTTTGCGTACAGAAGCTATATACACACCTACACAGTTGTTGGAATCCTTCACACATGCACACAAGAGAAAAATTCTTTGATTTTCTTGCTGAAGTGTATATAAATTTGCTTACAACATAATTTGATGTATGCCTAATTGGAAGAAGATAGCTAGGTTTTCTAGCTAGGTCTTTTAACCTAATATTAATGGCATTTAGATTAAATTATAGGTATCAGTATTTCTCAATTTCTTTAAACAAATGAGACAATCACAATAAACCATATTTATAGTTGATAGCATTGAAGTGAAATGCTATATGTATGAAACCTAAACAATTGATTATAGCTTATTACTAATTAAAAGTTACTATATATTCATATTCTAGAGGTAAAGTAGGTAATGAAACTCATCAGAAGAGATATCATGGTTATATTTGTATTAAATTAGGTAATATAGACATATTTATTCATTATTAATGCATTTCTAATCCTGTCAGTTTTTACGTTATATTAAAACTGATTTATATTGATTTTTTAAATAACGTACAAGATGTTACTTGTAAAATTTTGTTAATAATTTGAAATGATAGCACAGGGACTGAATTTCTTTTTTCAAAGAAAATATAAGGAATGTCTTTGGAAAAAATTGTTGTTAGCTAGGATTTTAACTTTCTTTATAAAATTTTTGAAAATTTTCCCAATGTATACAGGCTATTTCTGCCAGAAAAGCTCTGTTTCAATTTTAATTTTATTTCATATCCATTTGTCATCAATATAAATCCATAGATTTACTGAATGTTTTACCAGTCTTATTTGTGTGTGGTGTAGGACCCATCAGATTTAGTGGACATTGAGGTGGTGGAAGAGGTGGTCAGAAATGCCATCTGTCTGGCCACCACAGAATTCAACATCACCAAATGGGTGACCGGTCAGTCCCAGAATATCCCCCGAGTGTGTGGAGGGTCCCCCGCCTCTTCCCCAGTCTCACCAAAGCCCCGCACAGAGGAAGTCTTCAAACCCATCGAAGTCAAGCAGACCCAGAGCTCTGTAAGTATCTTAGCTGAATAGAATTAAGGCTTTATTTTCTTAGAAAATATTTCAAATAAGGACTTTTTTTAAACATATTTTATATAACTAGAAGGATACAGGAAGTCTTATTTTATCAAGTTGTATTGTTTCCATTAGTCTAGTCCTGATTTACTTTTAATTATTATTTCTTAATTAATAAAAAATGTTATCCTTTTATCCCCTAGTACTCTGATGAAGAAATTTGACTCTTCCTTATAACCATCTATGATCTTGCCATTTTAGGAAACCACAGGTTTTCTCCCAATAACTGTATGGCCATGTTGATTGTTGTGCTTTGCAGAGCTCTGATACATGTATGGAGTAATATGATAATAAATCATACAAGGTCTTATACTAAATTTGATACTTTTGACTATGAAAAGTTCCAACTACCTGATCAGTACATCAGGCTTACAACTGGTATAACCATTCAACAGGGGATGTTAACTCCTCCTAGGCACCTAATCCCACCTCTAGAATATCCAGGGGTCCACGTTTTATGCCATCTTCACAGATTTGTATTGCTTGTGTATTTTTTGAGATCGATTGCTGTTAATAATTATCTACACTTTTTAACATGCTATGTATATGCTTGATCAATACATGAAATTGAATTGTAATCAGTATCAATGTTTTTAACAATGACAGGACAGGAACTTAAACATTATTGTTGTTTATGCAAACATACTGAAGCTTTGTCTCATCCACATTAAGAACATTTTATAGTTTCATGCAGCATCCCTATGAGGGCATGATTTATGCTTCAATTTGAATTAAATCATGTTGATATAATTCATGTTCTGCTTCACTTTGAAGCCTACACAAAGATTTAACACTGCCAGAGGAGGTACAGTGTACATTTCAAATAAGCTGTCTTCTGGGAGCAGTCATTAGTTTAGTAGCGTAGTGTCAATTTGTTTATGAGCAAATCATTGATTTTCTCTTCAGTTTCCTCCACTGAAATTAGGATTTTGTGATTTAAAGATCACGTAATGAAAAAAAAAAGTACAAGCAATTCATCTGAATTTTTGTTAAACATTGGAGATTGATTGTTATCATCAACCTCGACCATGATTGCTGGAGCACAATGACCTGTACTTATACAGTCTATGACTAATGGCTTTAACAAAACCTTTTTGCAGTTGCTACCTTATTTTATACACATTTGTAGAAATGTAATATTTTATGAGTTTACTGAAAAGTTTTTTATGCCCTTGTCATGAAATGCTTAGCCAGCTAGGGCATGAATTGTCCCCCTTTTCTATCCTTCATTTTGGCATTTTTTTCCATCAAATTTGTAGCTTCCCGACTTTACTTGCTGACCTTGTAGATAATGTTTTTATAGGTATATCTCTGTTCAAATAATATATAGGCTTTGCAGTGATTGGCCCATTTTAACAAAAGTTATGCCACATATAGACTTTTTTGTAAAAAAATCACTGTTTTGGGGACTCTTTAAGATCTGTATTTTCATATATACAACTTTGCTGTGATTTCAGTTCCAGTCTCCTGGCTCCAGCTTTGCCGCCCCCACACCCAGGACAAACAAGAGCTCTGAGGACAAACGACTGTTGGTCAAGGTCATCAAAGCCAGTGGACTGGCCACCAAAGGTGTGACAGGTAAAGGGAAAATTCCTGTTTCTGATGAATTAATTAAAGATCATGGTTATGAAGAAGGCTTATAATTATACATGTATAGGTAATGCATACTGCCAAATGTATATACCTGTTTAAACAAAATAAAACAAAATATACTTAAGATTACTACTGACAAGCACTGCTTAACATATATTGCTTCCAAGGTGCTTTAAGGACAGATTATACAAACAAAAAAATTGATACCTGGATTGCTATATATTTTTGGATCTATTTTAATTGGAAATGATGTGAATAATAAGATTTTTGACAAAAGTCTGTTCATATCATCTGTCCTTACAGTAGTTATTCTTCTAAATAAAACTTACCTATTACCTAAAACTTGTCTATTGCTTTTGATGTCAGATTTCGGATTAAGATTTTGTACTACTTTAAGATTAAAATTCAAGTTTTATTTGAAGCAATACCCTATATTTTTTCATGGATTGTATGTAAATTCTGGTATATGTCTTGCTTTGAACCAGGAACTATAGACCCTGCCTGTGTTGTGTTCATGGACAATCCACCCCAGAGTCAGATCACCAGTGTCGTCAAAATGTCCGTCAATCCTTTCTGGGACGAACAGTTCTTGTTGTGAGTAAATATTTCAAGAAAATACAGTGCCTTTTTGGATTTATGAAAATATTGTCTATTTCTGTTAAAGGTGACTTTTTAGTTTACAAATGTCATTGGTTCCTTTGTTTTAGTGATCTGACTGGAAATACAAGAGAACTGAAGTTTGAGGTCATTGACAAAAGCAGACCTACTGGAGGTAAGTTGTAACACTGCTTTTACATAATAGTGCAATACAATATGTTTTTCCTAGACAGTGCCAAAAACTTTTGCTGAGAGTTCTTTTCAGTATTTTATATATATCATGATTTAAGAGTTACTTCCTTGGGTATACCATCTGTTCATCTCATTGCTTTTAAGTCTTTGAAAAATAATTCCTAGCTCTTTTAAATAATTAAGCCCCTTTTTTCTCTATATAGAAAAAAATATGAAAAGTTTAGATCATCAGAAGTATTTACAGTTGACTATTTCATAGAAAGACAACTAAATAAATAACTGACTAACTGACTAATTCAGTATCTATTTATGACAGAGAACTTTCTTGGTGAGGCTATTGTGTACTATGAGGACATTAAGAGGAATGCCAGCAGTCGGCAGATCATCCCCCTACAGGGCGTCACGGACGACGGCAATATGGCCAGCGGCTCCATTACTGTGGAGGTTTGTCTGCTGTGTGACATGTTGCATCATTTCTATTTATAGATTAGAAATTGGAGGGAAAAAAATTAGATGATCAAATTGTGTTTTGATATTAGAAGAGGGTCAATAAGAGTAGTTGGTAGAATAGATTAGGAATTTAGAATATATGAAATTTTGAAGAGATTTAAAATCGGTGAAATTGTATGTTATGTTGCCTACTTTGTTATTATGTTAATGTATCGTTCTTATCTTGTCAATGTTTTCATTTAATTTTGTAAATTCAGTACTCCAGTGGAAGTAAATTAGCAAAAAAAAGTTTTCTCTATGGAATTTCTTCATTTCAATTAAATGATGTCTAGTATTTAGTACAAATTCAAGAGTAATTGCTTCTTTTAATTCCATCCTCATGTGTAAAGAAGAAATAATCATTGATCAGTGCATAAGGGAATGTCTCAAAGGAGTACTGCATTTACGATGTCATCCAATCTGTTATTTAACAATATTTCTTTAAAAATGCCTAGATTTTAAGAATATTTAATTTTACACACGCTTAATCTTTAAATTTTTATTTATTTTTTGATACTCAAATGCAGTAGGTATTAGGAACTGTGGATTTTACAAGCAGATAAATAAAAAGTCTGCTCTCAGTGCAACCATTTTGGAAATATTTAGATTAAAGGGGGAAAATTGTAAAACCAGAAAAAAATGACATGTGTTTTGTGAAATTTTTCAGTTTCGCCACCCTCAGAAATAGGTCTTTTGAGCCCTATCTTGCCTTTGATGTATATATGTGTGCCATATTTATCACGTGTGGAGTTATAGACTTTCTAGTAGTGTTTGTTTCCATGGTTTCCGAGTTCATCATTTTGAGGATATTTGTTACCTTGACAATGGGTTTTTGTTTAGTACAGAAGGTGAGCTTGTGATTTTATAAAAGGGAACGTGTCAAAAGCATTTTGGAAGATTGGTGTTGATTATGTGTATTTTTTGCATATTAAGTCTGCAAAGTAGAGTTATATACATGTAGTAGTGCCGTTGTTCCATGGTAATAACAATTATAGCTAGGATTACATCATGGGTAATGAGATATATGGCAATTAACTTGGATTGCTTGAAGAAATCATGCTTAATTTGGTAGCCATTATTAAAGATGGCTGACTACTCAAAATTAATAAAACAAGATCAGACATGTCATTTTGGAATGAGGGAATAATTTGTTCTTTTTTCGCTGTATGTAAAATCCACAGATTAACTGCAAGAAGCTTATGTAAAAGTATGTGTGGCATTTGTTATTTCAAATATTGATCTTTGTCCCAAATCTTATGGGGAAAAAACTGTAATTGCATTAAAATGAATATTTCTATTGAACATTTTGCAGTAGAAAAAATACTATGCAGAGGAAATGACAAACCATTCTTTTAATTAACAAATGCCAAAAGAAAAAGAATATATCTTTAGAAATGTCCATTGCTAAAATCAAAGTGCAAAATCAAAATACTTGCTGATGCTTCTTAGCGCTCATGGTTTCTATCTTAACTGGTAGTCGGCCTTCTTTATTTTAGTAAAGTTCGCACTTTTCCTGTCAGTTGAAATCATATCACATGTGCTAAATTTGTTTTTGTCTGCCTGGGTGCCAAGAAAACTGCCTCAGTGGCGTACATGTATGTATATTTAGGAGATCTGGAATTGCCGATTTGTTGCTCTGCATTTGAATGCTTGGAATGTCCAATAAAGATATGTTATTGAAGACTTAGTCAGTGATGGAAAAGGAATGTTACTCTGCATGGCATAAAATAAAGACTTTAAAGATATGATGATATATAGTAAAACTGTTTTATTTATTGCAGCTCTATATGTATATAGACATGATAAATCAGAATTGTAGAGACCTACCAAAAAGTTCCCTTTATACTGGCTGATATTTCATTAAAGAGGAAGCAAATGAATGTTCTGGCAGTCAGGCATTAAAGTAGATACCAAATCATCACTTAATTCCTCCTTCGATTAGATTCATTAGTTGAGTATTCATGCCCTTGCAAATCAGTTAGCATAACCATTTTACTTCAGCTCTTAATGCAAATAAATCTTGCTTACATATATACATGCATATAGATGTCTATTAATATGCATTTATATCATATGCTACATGTATCAGTGCATGGAAAGAAATGAAAATTATTTGATGTTCATTGTATTTGTATAAAATTTGTATGCATATGTAGGTGTGACACAACCAAAGTAATAAATTGGATTATATTATCATCTCAGTACTGAAAAATGTCATAGCCAGGTAAGGGCTGTTAAGCAATACTTAATGGGCCCTTTTGTTGTGCCATTTTACTTCAAAATATATATACATTGTATATACATGTATCTTTATCATTTAAAACAATTATTGGTGATTTAGTTCTCAAATATTTATTCCATTTGTCTTTCTATCCCTATTACTACGTCAGGTTTAACTTTAAATCTAGGCTAGAGAGAAATCTCATATTTAAAAAAAATGAGGTCAAGGTCACTCATTAAGGTCACTAATGACAATATTTAGTTGTTTAGGGTATTGTGTATTGCAAACATTGAATTTACTGATTTTAGCAATTAAAAAAAGTTTAAAGTAAATATTCTTGTTAACAGTTTCTGTTTCTTGACCCTGTGGACACTAATGGGTTGGGCCCAGTGATGAACCAGAAGAATGTCCTTCTCGCTTGGAGGCATTTCTGGATACAAAGAGAACAATCCAAGTGAATTAGGACATATTACTTACTGGAGTATTACTTTCATATGTTTATTATTTTAATCATTACCAGTATTCGGGGCATGTACAACTCCTGGTTACCACGACAACAATGACAACAGAGAGACAGCAGAAAAATCAGAGACATGAGGCTGCAGTTGATGGTATGCTCACTTTGTGTTAATGTGTAATATATACATGTTTATACAAATATGGTATACATGTATCTTTATCATTTAAAACAGTTCTTAGTTCTCAAATATTTATTCCATTTGTCTTTCTGTCAATTTTAACTTTAAAGCTAGGCTAGAGAGAAAGCTCATATTTAAAATTTTTGAGGTCAAGGTCACTCATTAAAGTCACCAAGGACAATTTATAGTTGTTAAGTTGAGGGTATTGTGTGTTGCAAACTTGAATACATACTGATTTTAACAATTAAAAAAGTTTAAAATAAACATTTTTGTTAACAGTTTCTGTTTCTGGACCCTGTGGATGTTTCAATTACAAAGAGAACATTAATATATCAGAGAGAAGGTAATCATAGATGGTATCTCACTGATCCTTATAGAACTTTGAAAAAATCCAAAATATTTTTGTGCCAGTAATATAGGGCTTGTAGCAAAGTTTTTCTCAAACATGTCTGATGTCTCAATTACCAGTAAGATATCAAAGTAATCTTAGAGTCTCTATCCTCAAACTTTGAATCCTGATCGAGATATCTTGGAAGTTTTACCTCAGTTTCAATGAGTTTGAGATGACTAAGTTTGACTGATCGTAGTTTCAGAGTCCTCTGAGGGTTTTAAAGAAATTTTAAAGACCATGGTCAGAAATATTTATTTTTTATGTTAGGGCTGGGTACAGACCATTTATATAATGCGATATTTTAAATTTGCGACATGTATTGCAATATTTTTTTTTGTTGTCATATTTCATTTACATGCAAAATGTACATAACTGTGATAAGTAACCTTGAACACGGAAAAAAATCTTGTTGATTTCATCTAAGTTATGCTCTGAAATGCTCCCACAAAACTTCTGTCTTACTGTTTGGCTTAATAACAAACTTTCATAAGTCTATTTTTATACTTAACGACAAAATTATGTGCCAATATATCGATATTACAATATCGTATTGCGATAATTTTTTGTCATTTTCGCAATATATTAACATATATTTCAAGAGAAAAAGATCAATTATATCATATGAGTTACTATTTATGATTCTCGAATGTATATCAACTTCATGTTTTAAAAATAATTTTTTAAAACAACACATCAAAACAGCCAATTGTGTGAATTGTGATGTTTGTATGATTGAGGCATAACGATGCCTTGAAGAAGAATCTATTTTATATTAAAACATAATAGATATATTTTTCAAAAAATAATACAAAACTTATAATTAGACAAATTAGCCTTTTGAAAAAGTAAATCCCTTACTTCAACGGTACAAAAAATAACACACTTACATTACAGATTATTTTTTTATCATAGTCTCTCAGTGTTAAAAAAGGAGAGAAAACTTTTGATTGGCTTTGTCAACTAAAAAAAAATAATATGTGTATGATATGTTTTATGCAGTGCATGGACCTCATCAAAGGGCTATATTTATATGATATTGAAATATATTTTTGCCCAGCCCTATTTTATGTCATTTATGTCATTTCACATACATTTGAATCACAGCAGAAATGACTTGTCCAAATCTACATGACATGGTTAATTACATCTGGGAAATTATGTAAATATCAATTTTCTTTTTAATGAAAAAGAGAAAAAAACAATATATAGTGTGTTTGTATTTGATGTACACTTTCTATGGTTTAATTGAAAAGTTGGAAAGAGGTATCTACAAATATCAATCACTTCCACAAAGAGAATGGTTTCTTAGTGTTGTGTTTGTGTTTTATGCAGTGCATGGTACTTTCATTCACAAAATAATTCAATAAATAAACCAGAGTTGTTAAAAAAATTTCAAAGAAAAAAATGAGATTTTTTTCCCAGTTTGAAATTAATGAGTTGTTTTAGCAAGGGGCAAAGTTATCAACTTTATCCTCCCCCCCAAAAAAGGCCAATTATTCTTATACATTGCATATATTATGACTGAATTTTTAGCAACTCTTTATTTTTTTTTGATTACTAATAATGCCAAATTTAGATGATTGCTTAATATTTCCCTTAATCCATAAAGCTTGAGGCTATAAAATAAAAAAGTCAGACTTTTTTAGTCTGTATGCTTATTCAAAGAAAAGCATTAGTTATGTGTAGACAGGGCAAGTTATGTGTAGGCAGTTTGGTTTGGAAGCAGCCTTTCAAGATATAGGGTGTGATAGAAGCTTTTATTAAGTGTGTTGTGTCTGACGCCAAAAAAAAAAAAAGTTTAATGAGTGAAATTCCGGCTGTTTTGTATGCTCAGAAATTTGACAGTATTGTTGCTTTATATTTGTGATATATATATATTTTTTCTGCATGTATCTCCTCCTTTTTTTCAGCATCCCCACATTTTATAGAGAAGCAAAATGTTTTTGATTTTGATATGTCGGAAAACACAAGTATAGACACATTGAATACGACCAACGCCAGTATGCATCGCCAGAATTTGTCTCTGTCCTCGTCAGGTAAAACTTAGTCATTCAAACTCTTTACTAACTCTTGTCTTCAAAGCCTGATGTGTTTTCTCTGTAGGCTTATAATGAAGTATTACTTGAACAATCGTGAAAATTAGTCCACCCCTAGATTACTCCCATCAATTCATCTATGTCAGTGTAAAGCTCAACAGAGCTTGTGTTGACTTTTTTACTGCCAATCTATGAAGGTTAAAAACTTATCTTTTCCAATCTGAAAAGTAGTGAATTTTGCATATTGTTACAACTTAAGCAGAAAATTTTGTTGTAAAGTAAATTTCATTTATTGAATTGTTAATTAAATTAACAAGTATCTTTTGAACCTGTGAACAATTATAATTCGCCCCACTTAAGAAATTATGAAATTTTCATATGACTAAACAGGGACAAAAATGTAGTATGTAATAGGGTTACTTTCAAAACAACAAAAATTTTAATGCTTGCGAAACCATACATGTAGATAAAAAATCAACAAAATTTGATCCCCATGGAGATTTGTGTTTCCACATTAAATTAGTTCAACTCTTTCTGTTTTTATGCCCTTTTATATTGGAGATGAAGAATGATATGGTTATCTGGTGTGTCCATCTGTTTGTCTGTGTTTTCCCTTAACCCTTAGAGATAGCTATAATTTTTAAAAGTGTATACAATACATAGATTATTTACATTTGAAATCTAGCTTAGTTACTCTTAAAAAGACCAAGCCATTTTATATATTTTTTTTAAAAAAGCAGCTGATTAAAACAATACATTTTATTCCTACTTTCATTAAATTGTTTTTGTTAACATTTTCTTCTTTAACTCATGACTTTAAAATAAATGAAAAACTAAAATCAGTGTTGCATTTTCCCAGAGTGAGCAGCTTTGTCTTTCCTTAGTTCTGCGAGTTTGAATCAATCCTGCTGCATTGAATTTGAAGCAGTTTCTTGTTGTGAAGAGTAAAAATGGATTTTAAATTATGCAATGAAACAATAAAAATGAATATTAAAAAAAACAACTGAACCTCTTTCCAACTATAACATGCACCAATAATTTATGTACATGTAGAATATCCCAATGTCTGTCTCACATGTTGTCACAACACTGTAGCACAATCCCTGATTTTCAGACTTTGGACATGGTGATGTTCAAGTAAGTAAAACGAACAGCAGTTTGATACCTGTATCATTCTTGTGTGCTCATGCTGTGAACACCCCTGCATGACAGAAAACACTCCAGGAACCCCCAAAATAGCACTTGTATACCTTAATATTGTTATAACTTTAATTAGAAGTATTTTTAATACCCTATACTTGTGGAATTCGGATTGAAATCAGAAGTAATTCAATAACCTGTGCGATGAATTTAAGTTTATTTTAAGGAGAGGTTAATAACATATACACTTCCCTTGTCTATGTAAAAAAGAAATACTCCAATTTTCTTGTCCTAAAACTTGTGTACACCTTATTTTACCAAGCTATATAGTCATAAAACATAATAAAAGAAATTTTTTTTTCAAATATTAGAAAACTGACACTTTTGTTTTCCAGATCTTAAACTTAGGGAAGTAATTATAATTTCAGAATTGACAAAATAGTAAAAAAAAAATTTTTGGAAGTATTTAGAGCAACAAAAACAATGGAATGCAATTTATGATGGATATGTTGTAAAAGACACAATACATATTGGCCATAGAAATTTTGCCAGTGTAATACATGCACTGAAAAGTTAATTGTGCACAATACAGAATACTAGTCCAAGTGTGTGTGTACTTAGAAGTTTGTTTTATATGTATAGCCTGTTTTATTGGCATGTGCTTCCTGTGCTTGCAGCAGAAGTAGTAACTATGAATGGGGTTGAATCGGTGGCTGAGACTGCCATTCGTGAATTAAAGGACAGGAAGTTCAAATCTAAAACTCCATCTAGGACTAGTACACTCATCATTACAGGGGTCCAGAAGGTAAGACTTGAAGGGCAACAAAGGTCATAGTTAGGTAAGGTTTAAAGGTCAAAGTTAGGTAGGGTTTGAAGGACAACAAAGGTCGGAGTTTAGTAATGTAAAGCTAAAATTGCTCCTATGGTCAAAAGCTAGGTAAGGCCTGAAGGACAGTCACAGAAATTGTCAAGTTAGGTAAGGCTTGAAGAATAGAGTTAATTAAGGCTTGGAGGGCGCCAAAGGTCAAAATTAGGTAAGGGTTGAAGGTAAAAGTAAGATGAGACTTGAAGGGCACCTAGGTCAAAGTTTGGTAAGGCTAGAAGGGTTACAAAGGTCAAAGAAGATTAGACTAAAGGGACTCCAAAGGTCAAGGTTAGAAAATACCTGAAGGGCACAAAGTTAAAAGTTTTGTTAAGTCTTAAAGCTTAAAGTTAAAACTTTTTATATATGAATTTATAGTAAACTATATTTAGAACTATACTGTAAACTAACTTTTATTTGCGTGCGAGAAATATCTGCGAGTTTCACGACACACTTAAACTTGCGGATAACCATGTATTTTGCTTTGTAAAGAATGTTTGCTTGGTCACAAAAAATAATCATGGCAGATCTATTTCAAACTGACAAATCGTGAATAAAAGCTAATGCGAATAATAGTTGGTTTACTGTATTATATTAGTTCATGAAAAAATTCATCAAAATCATCATGTTGACTCTCCTTTGATGGTGTTCTCTGTCCATTTTATTCAAAGCAGATCTCGTAGCAATGCAAATTTATGTTATTGCATCATTTTCTGATCCAGTGGGTTGTAAGGGTGTATTAAGTACTAAATTTTTGTGACCATGTCCCACTAAATGAGATAATTTAGATATAATTAAGTGCTATTGTTCACCAAAAATTAGAAGTATATATTTTGTACATGGATGTCAGTCACAGAGTTAGATGTACATAATAGAAGTACCTTTTGTAGCGCACAGAGTTCTATGGATAGAGATATATTACTAACTCATAAGCATGTTGTTACAGTTTCAATCTAACATTATAACCTGTTGTAAAATATATATATGGGTTTTTATAACTTTAAGTATTTATTTGGAATTATTTACTGAGACTAAAAGCAGTACTGGTTTACTAAAAATATTGAGTGAAAAGTAATCATATAGCCTCTATTTATTCATAACAACTTGAAATTAACTTACCAATATTTAAATTAAGAAACAAATTAATAAAACCATTTTCATCTTTTTAAAGAGTCCTGAAGACCTGCATCAGGATGTTCCCGTGGTAACGACCCAACCTCCATCACCAGGTCATCAAGAGAAAGGTAAAACTTTACTGTCAATCAAATATTTATACTCAACTTTTAGGAGCAAATACATTACAGATCATGTTAAAATGAGAGTCAGAATGCATTGCCAGCCATGATCCTGATACATCAAGTATTCTAGAATTATGCAGATATTCTTATTTATGCAACTGAAATTTCAGAGAAATCTTCACAGTTGTAATGCTTTTTTACTTTACCCCATATTTTGCTACTTTTGTGCTTTCTCTTGTATACATGTATAAACAAAGAATAGCACATTGCTCACCAAAGCTTCAGTATTATCTGCAGACAACACAGAGTAATCTCAGATCTGATCAGCACATAGCAACACTCAAAGTCACAAAAGCTTAGAATAGATGGGCATAAGTTGTTTGCTTCATGCTTTGCAGATAGAAAGAAGGGCATGTCCCTTGCAAGGCAAATCAAGAAAAGATTTTCTCGCTCAAAGAAGCGCTCACGCAGTGCAGAAAGGTCGAGCAATTCTTTGAGAGAAGGCTCAAACTATCTGCAGCCACCAGACACTGGCCATGGGAAGCCACAATCTAAAGGTTCACTGCATCCACGTGTTCTAGTTCACTGAATGTTGTTCACATGTCTAGATTTTGTCCTAGTAGCTGGTTTTCGGATTTGATTCCCTTTTTTTTATTTATGTTTTATCATTTGCACAAACAATGTAGGGGTAGTGAATAGGCATTTAGCTTTTGAACCAGCATATTAGTTCTATAATATATGTAGTTGTCAGTCATGTACATAAAATAAAATTCATACATTTAGTAATAATTCAGTCAGTAGAATGCATGTACTGTACATGTATGATTAATATTTATATTCCATTTGCACTCATTAACAGTGTGATAAATTATATGTTTATGTAGCACAAACACAGTGTGTCCATTTAAATACTGTATACATGGGATTTTTTTGGCCCAATGTTATTTTCATCCTTTCACACTTGCAAAGTTTACAGCGCTGCATCACTATTTTTAATTTACCCAGTCACAGTTCTATTTAAGAAATAATGCTGTGTTCTTTGAATTAACCAACTTTTAAGCAGGGTAAAAGGGGCAAAATAAAAGTGGTGGTGAAAATTTCCGTGTATACATGCAGCATTAGTATATTATCTGATGACAGAAATCTCCTTGTCCAGTCAGAAATGGTTTTAATGACAAATTCTAAATTCACTGTATATTAGTATTAATATTGATATAGTGAATGTATGGATATAGCATAGTATGGATATTTTGTCTTAAACTAGTATTTAGTATTTGTAAACAAAAAAAAAACCATGTTTTTGCGTGGACCCTGAGGTCCACGCAGTAAATATATAAGCGAAGTTAAACCGGATGCCATGGGCAAACGACAGGCTACGCATGCGCGAGAATACTAGAGAGTTCGCACCTACGGCAAATTGCCCGTAGAATAATTCGCCCTATTCGAATTAGAATATACCCTTCATTGGCAAATCACTCTTTCAAATCCGCATGCATGTATTCATTGGCGGATCCGAATTTTTCTCTTATACAAATACTTATGTCTATTCTCTTATACAAACTAAACATTGATTCTGTGGAACATGTACAAAGATTTTAAAAAGTAGGAAGAACTTGCGTATAAAGATACATGTAACTTAACAACTTAAATAAAACGTCATTCAACAACGAGTTCTTGCTTTTAAGTTTTTACCGGCGTTAGCTTTTTGCCTCAGACTCGATATTTCAGCAATATAACTACCGTTTGATAGAAGTATGTAGCAACAAATGCTCGAGGGGGTGGGGTCTCCGACAAAAAAATATCTTCGTTCTACAGAGCTGTGCTACACGTGAACCATCAGATCTATTTTCCCATGATAGATTTCTTCCGTATAAATCCAGAACAGGTTTTGAGTCCCAGCCATTATGGGTTGCATGTACCAAAACATCTCCCGGTGTTTTAAACTGACAAAAGTAAAGGCTAATCATGCTAATCGGAGATAAAATTTAACAAATGCTTTAAGACTTCAATCAGTCATAAGTAGGCAGATCATAGTAGAATGTGTTAACAAACCTACATGAATATTCACTACACCTAAAAATTTAACACACCTTCATGAATATTCACTACACCTAAAAATTTTCTTAAATTGAATTTCGGTTAAAAACACATGCATATGGTCCACGTATTGCAGTCCTTTTTTAAAGGACAGCAACTTGTTAATCATCTTTAGCTTTTATTGGTACTCAAAATTCCAAGATTGGATTGGAATATTTAAAGCTTTCTAGGTGAAATGTGGGAGAAAACCTTTGTAGACAAAAAATTAGAAAACAAAATATTTTATGCATCACTGCTTTGTATATTGCATGACCAACAGACACACTAGAGCTTTGGCACAAGAAAGAAAAATAATTTCCCTTGCTTTTGCTACCAGTTTCAAATTGTTTTGGTTTTTGTATGTATAGTTATTAGTATTAAATTTTTCTGTTTCTAGAACTAGATTTGAACAAAGGTTGCAAATTTTGAACATTTAAATTAGACATACTTCTAAACATGTCTCTAATGAATTGCTAATTGCTATTAATTAAATGGCTAAGTAAATCTAGATTAGATCAATAGGTTTTGTTTTACCAGTAGGCATGAAATTTTTATCAAACTCTATCTTTTTTTTATTGCTAGATGACATTGAGTTAGTTAGAGGAAAGGCAGAGCCACCCGGAACTCCAAATCTGAAGAAATCTCGTTCCCTCGGGGGAAGCCTTAAAAAACTGTTCCGCAGGGGAAGGAAGCAGCAGCGAACACAAGGGGAAACCTCCAGGGAGAGTTCATTTTCCCGTTCCTCAACACGCAATGTCTCACAAGGCCCCTCTAGGGAGGGTTCATTAAACAGAAATGTTGACCCAAAGGATATGCAATATCAACAGACATTAATTTCATAGCATTTGTTAATTATTAATCATAAAGTATATGAGAAAATTTTATATATTTTCATATAGAAAAACTATTGATATGACTCATGAAGCTGTAGCCTAGCTAGTATTTATATTTTTTGATATAATTATCAGAAAACAAAAATTACTTTCATAACTGAGATTGGATTAAATCACAATTAATGGCAAAGATACGATTAATTTTATCAGTACTTTCTTTTAAAGAAACAAATGTTTTCATGGTGGAAAAAAAATAACATTGCTTATATCTGCATCTATTGATCTGAAAAGATTGTTATGAATACAGTGCTAGCTATCTAATCAAACAAATCTGTTTCACTGTGAATTCCAAACTTTATTAAAATTCCCATTTTATTCTGTTCTTTACACCTTGTAATCCAGCCCCCTGTCTATTGTGACGCAAAATTTGTCCCCCAGTGAATGTTGGATTAGACAGATTGCACTGTATTTTCAATCAGTGGTGGAAAACAAGGTCCCATATGATTTTTGTTTAAATTTACATTGATATTAGTTTTGTAAGTCAGTAAAAGGTTAGCTTATTAGCATTAGCATAATGTTTTCAGTTCCTAACAGTCATTTAAATGCTTTTATTAATTGAATTCATATAAAGTATGCAAGGATCCTTCTGTCTGCCATTATTTTCTGTTCAGTTATTTTTGTCACACAAGGTTTTCATCTGCTTTTTTCCATGGAAAAAAATCCTATTATGTAAAGAAAAATGCCCCATAGTGTTTGCAATCATACTTCTCCCCTCCGAATGTCGCCTCAAAAATGAACACAGACCATGTAAAGTAAACACTGTTAAGTCTGTATACATGTACATTACTGTAAACTTTTATATTCATATGGGATGTTTAAGCATAATATTTTCACCTTGTATAAAATATGCCTTAATTATTGTTCCTTCTTGTGATTTTCCCTTTAAATATACCTCCTGTAAAAGTGTTTTATTATATTAACTTTTTTTGTGTACATTTCAAGAGCTTCTTAGTTATTTCAACATTGTGTTTTTGGCTGCCTGTAAATAATATGATTTGTGTGTATTGTATTAAACACTGTTCGTATTGTAAAAAGTATTACATTATTAGGAATTTCTAGATTGGTCTATGACCAATTTTCAGATAAGCCTGTAAAATTTGTGATATCTATAGCGTAGGACTAAATTATTTTCAAAGATATGTTTCTGATTATAGACTTGTTGATGCAAGACTTTGAAGCAAGTTTCAAGTTTCCTGCGTTAATTCTTTTTTAATATTTAAGGGAAAAAAAGTGTTATAATTACTTTTAAAACAAAAACTTATGGTATTAAAACTATTATTTCTGTTTTTATTAGTTCTAGTAAACTTATTTAAAGCATTTAAAACACATGTTCCACAATACTGCTATTATAACCAGCTTCCAATTTAAATAAAGATCTCTTCACTTTTTACTAAGGTTGTGAAATGTTGTGTCAAGTAGACCAGATTTAATTATAGAAGAATCCATGGTTTAAAAAAGCAAAATTTTGGTATGTAAAAAGAATTCATGGATATGCTTGGTTTTATGGAGTATCTATAAATATTTTTTTTTTCTTCTTAAAAAATTGGAAATAATACTGATATTATGGAGGACAATTGGGAGTTTACATGGTTTATGTAAGCCCTTCTCTTTTGTTAGTTACTAGTTGTGTGATTGTTTCTTCAAAATTGATTATACATTTATCAGTATATTAAAAGGAAACTGACAAATGTTTGAAACAGTATTTTTACACAGTCTAGTCCATTATTGTTTATATACTGTAAAAGATGTTAAGTTTTTAATGTTCTGTGAATTTTTATTTGAGAAATTGTATATTTTTCTTTCTCTGTGCAGAAATCCAACAAAATAATACTATTTTCAAAGTTATATTTAGCAAAACATTGATGAAACAGACCATTAAAATAATAGAAAGTTATTACAGGTGAAAGAATTTATTTTGATATTATTACAAGGAAATGCTGAATACCTAGTAAAAAATCAAGAATTTGAGCATTCAGGAAAGTACTTTGCTGTTAATGTTTCATTGATCTCCAGAATTTTCTTGAAAAATTTCAAGATTTTTTTTTTTAAATATACTACTTGCTGAACTTTGTATTCTGATGATGTATTTTTTTTTTTTTTCATTTTTGAGTGCATTTAAAAATTCTTTTTTTTTCTCTCTCTCTTTTTAGGAAATGAAATGCATTTGGCCTGTAAATGTCATGTAGTTTGTTTGGTATATTGTACTTGAGTACCCCAAACTGTTGGTTACTTGTTAAGCCTTTCTTGCTAATTTGCTTTGTACTTTTTTTGGTCTAACTTTGACCTTGGCAATCATTTAATATAGAAAAAATATTTATCCAAAGACAAAATCAATGTAAATTGAAATTGAACTTTATGTGACAAGACTTGACACAATGCAGAAGCGATTGAACATTTTTTTTTATTCTTAAGTTGTAGTATTTCTAGATGTAAAAGTGTCTTGCCAATGCATGAATAGAAGATTTGATTTTTTTAATGTGAGTGTGTGTAGGACCAAAGATTCATGAAATAAAAAATGCCACTGTATTGGTTTTTTTTTATTCATACACATGTACTAGAAAAGGTTATTTCAACCTGTTGCTTAACTTCAGTTTATATCTTAAATTCATTTAATACACATGCATGGTTGATTTGAAGTTAATCTTCATTCTTAGAACAAGTTAATATATTTTAGAAGGAGCAGTCCTGTTTATTCTGAAATGTTTTAAATAGAAAAATCCTTTTGTGAGATACAAAACAGTAATATACGTTCCCCCTATTTAACTTAATTTTATTTGAATAATTTTTTCAGTGTTTGCAACATTCATCAAATCAAGAAAAAGGTGACTTTCTGTTCCTCTTTTCCGTCGCCTTCCAGTTGGAAGAGTAACAAAAGCCAAGGGATGAGTTGTGGTCCTTGTTTTAGGTACTAGAATTGTACTTGGTTGTACAGTAGATGATTTAGGTGATGATACCTTCTGAGATGCTGAAATAGAATTAGTTTTTGGTGTATTGCATTAGAATATGGAGACACTGTTTTACAGTAGATCTAGAAGTCTGATATGTTTGGTAATGATCCCAATCCTTCTGTTGGTTTTTATGACCCTGTTTTTGTTTCATTGAACAGGGAAAAATAAAACCAAACTAATGAAAACAGCTTTATTCCCCTTGTTTATTCAGCAGACAAATTCAGTGCACAGCTGTGAAATATATGGAGACCACGAACGGTATATTCAAGCTCAGAAGTTCATTTAACAATGCAAAATAGGAGCAACGCAAACGCGGACCTCCAAAATATCACAGGTGGGATCAGGTACCATGGAGGAGTGAGCATCTCCTGCCGTCCGGTTACACCCACTGTGCTTCTTGTCATGATCGCGATTTAACGGAAATCAGTGTGTATAAAATGGCCTAACAATTAGTATGAAAAACACATATGTCCCTGACCCTGGGGTCACAAGTTTAATAATTTTGGCAGAGGCACTCTTCATTATCAAAAAAGTGCATAATGTGTATCTGCTTTATAAATCTTCTCTGCTTCTAGGTATTTACGCGCACCTTGGATCAGAGAAGAAAATTCTCAAAAATTATTACGTTTACTATGAAATCAATAGAGTTCTGTGTGGCAAGGCACTTTGAAAAAATTACGCACTTTGAAAATAAATCGTACTGTGTTAATAGGACAAAATCAACGCACTTTGAAAAAAAATTCAAAGTGTGAAAATTTAGGACAAAATCTACGCACTTTGGATTTTTTTTTCAAAAAGTAATGCCCAAGGTTAAAGTTTTTCTTTAAACTATATAAATCTCCAAGGTCAAACATGTTGGTATCCAATGAAAGGTCTTGTCACAAAGAATTCATATGTAAAGTATGAAAGCCCTTACCCTTGCCGTTCAAAAGTTATGTCCAAGGTTAAAATTGGGGATTTTTGTGTAAAAGTGCTTCAAAGTTCAAGGTCAAAAGGTCAACTTCGGTTGTACCCTAAAGAATGGTCATGTCACAAGGAATACATATGTGAAATATGAAAGTCATAGCTCCATTAAATCAAAAGCTATGAGCAAGTTGAAGGTCTTTGCGGACAAACAGAGAGATAGACAGACAGACGGACATGATAAAAACTATATGTACCCCGAATCTTCATTAACGGGGGCTTAAAAATAAAGCAACTTGTATAAAACACATAAATATTTTTCACTCATCTTAATTAAACAGCTGTAAAATTGAAGTCATCATATTGTGTGGGAATAAACAATTTATTATACATTTATTTAAATATTAACCAAATATAAACTATAAAATAAAAAGACCATAATATTGTGCGGGAAATTTATTTTCAATTCGCACACAAACTTGGACCCCATTTTGCTGCGTTTTTCGTTCTCTCAATGGTCATTTTTAAAACAATTCTAGAAAACTTTTAATCCAGTTAAAAGAATAATGAATTCCTTATTACACTGAATTTCAGTTCAAAGGTATTTTTTCTAAATGCATTAATATAATTTTAACGCACTTTGAAAAAATTGTTCAAAGTGCGTTTACTTGGTCCCAAAAACGCACTTCGAAATATTTCAAAGTGCGCATTTGTTGAATTTTGTTCAAAGTGGGTTGTAACAGTCCTTCCCTAACACAAACCCTCCTGTCCTAAGGACTAAACAATTCATAACTTTGGAAGGCGGTGGTGCCCTTCATTACTAGTATGATTAATTAAAATATTTTGTTTTCTAATTATACAAGAGCATAGCAGAAGACTTGAAAAGAAACAAGCAAATTCAAGGAATTGTGGTCCCCGGCTTTCGGTGTCTTTGTGGAGAAATGTCATTTTTTTATGGCACATTGTGTCAAATATGAACGCCTTTTCTTATGTCATTCAGAAGTTATCACCAAAGTTGATTTTTTAAATTAGATCAATCGTGAAGGTCAAGGTCAAGAAATCATAGCATGTTCAGAGATACGCTCTGTTTCTTGTCACAGGAAATGCACGTGTAAAATGTGAAAACTGTATCTCTCCTCAATCAAAAGTTACATGTATAAGGAAAAATTAACATTTTTTGAAAATTAGGCCAAACTTCAAGGACAAAATCACAAGATAAAAAATTAATGTGTTTAGAAAGGTCACAAGCAATACACAAGTTTAATATGAAACCCCTATCATGATGCAATGTCTTCTCATTCATAAGTCATGAGTAAGGTTAAATTATTTTGAAAAGTAGGTCAAACTTCAAGGTCACGAGGTAAATAAAAATGTATTGTCACAGGCAATGCACATGTCTAATATGAAAGCCCTATCTCTTCTTATTCATAAGTTATGACCAAGGTTAAGTGTGGTATTTTTTTGTAAAAATAGGTCAAACTCCAAGGTCAAGAGGTCAAATTTGTTGGTACCCAAAGAAAGGTCTTGTCACAAGGAATACAAATGTGAAATATAAAAACCCATAGCTCCACCCACTCAAAAGTTGTGGGCATACATATAAGTTTTTGCGACAGATAGTAAGACAAATAAACAGACGGATGGACAGGACAAAAACTATATACCCCGAAACTTCGTTTACGGGGGCATAAAAATTGTATTTTCAACTGGAAAATTGTTTCAAAGAAAATATATAATTAAACAAATTGTCGCCCATCCTCACAACGTCAGGCGTCCAAAGTCAACATATTGTCCGTCGAACGGCAGTTCGTGTTGACCCAGGACCCCTGACGTTGTTTGGATAATGGTCGCCAGGCATCTCATTCTGTGCATATTTTCACCCCAACCCCTATTTTTGTTTCCAGTGAACATGCTTACCAAGAATCACCTGTTGCACAGTGTCACTGACGCAAGAATTGCTTCTACAGCAACGAGTCGAACTGTGTAGATTTAAAAAGTCATCCTGCTTCGCATTTCTGCATTCATGGTCCTACATTAAAAACATTAAATGGATCAATTCTGTCCACAAAATGCCACCTTACACATATACTTTCTCATAGATACACGTATCTTATATATTTGTCTAATAAATGTAACCTGTGCAACAATATCTAGTTAAAATTCAAGTTAAAAATACAAAAAATTGTAACGTGCAACGCGGCCGTGCTTGGTGTGTGGTGATATGTCTTGTATCACCGAGGCGTTACACTCAGGTTCGTTAACCTGTTAACTCAGATTTGTGTTGACCAAATCCAATATATACAATTATAATACAATAAATCAACGGGTTTCCTCTTGATTGGACAACCACTAACTGTGGTCAACGGGTGTCTCCCGCAATGAATTTCTCTGGTCCTGCCACTCTATATGTACTGCTGTATCTTTGCACTTCCCCCACTTCTGTGGTATGCCACCTCTTTCTACATTAAGCTACTGCCTTATACAGGTCTTGCGTATTTGTTAATAATGTAAACTTTTACTGCCCATCCCCCGCAACTGTGTGCCTTATTCAGATCTTGATCATAGACAGAAACGGTTTACCAGTTCTTCCACCAGAGAGGTATTCTGAGCATATCCTAATACAACATGTATTAGCCCAGTGCAGTCCGAGTACATTGGAAGCTACAAACTACTTAAATGATCTTAGAATTAATATTTTTTTGTGTTTAAGAATTTACACAAAAACGTACGTCTAACGTTTTATACGAAACTAAAATCACAAAAACCAATTTCCGTTACATTACCCTTCCCTCAAGATTATATGCGTCCCGCATATGATTACTTTTATACAATTTATTTACATATGTACAAAACTTTTCAATGCCTGACAATTTGTAACATTTCCCTATCATAAGCCAGCAACGTATGACGGAACCAGTTCCTGGGTTGACTACAAATCACATTTTGAGGCATGTGCTGTTGTAAATGGCTGGACAGAGGATATTAAGAAGGGTCTTTACCTAGCTCTATCGCTGCGTAGCTAAGCACAGTCAGTGTTAGGTGACTTGCCAAGCGATACTGGTCAGCACTATAAGGCACTGGTCTGATCCCTTGAGAAGAGGTTCTCCCCTCCTAACCAAACAGATCTATATCGTGTACAGTTAAAAGAACGAAGATAAAGAGCATCTGAGTCAATACCAGATTTAGGTCGGGCCATTAGACGACTAACCAATTTGGCCTACGCATCAGCACCTGGTGATGTGCGAGAAACTCTGGCCAAAGATACATTCATAGATGCCTTAGTAGATTCAGAGATGAGAATCCGCATAAAACAATCTCGTCCTCAAAACCTGAATGAAGCCATCCGGCTAGCCGTTGAACTCGAGGCTTATAATCGAGCAGAAGCGAAAGGCCATTTACGAGTATCGGCAACAGAACACTTAAATACTGAGGTTATCCAGAACGGTCTTGGGATGGTTTCTGACATCTTATACGAATACATGGTCAATAAAATCCCACCGCTGCCACCAAATAATGTAACGTGCAACGCAGCCGAGCTTGGTGTGTGGTGATATGTCTTGTATCACCGAGGCGTTACACTCAGGTTAGTTAACCTGTTAACTCAGATTTGTGTTGACCAAATCCAATATATACAATTATAATACAATAAATCAACGGGTTTCTTCTTGATTGGACAAC